GGGAGTGGCTTGGCAGTCATGTGGCTTGGTGGGCGTGGCAAACTTGAAAAATGTGGTGAAACTCACTTAACAAAGCTCTTGCTTAGCAACCAAAATATTGGCTCAGAAACTCTGGCATTTGAAGCACCAAGTCTTAAAGCTGTCGAGTTACAAGACCCTTGCACCCCTTAACCCTTTAAGAAAAAAAAAACCCAGGGGTGTTCAAACTTGACAGCTTTAAGTTTAGATAGGACTCTTAGAGCGGTCGGGACAATTGGTGAGCCAGCCAATCAGTGAACGGAGGGCGGGGCAAGTGTGGTGCATATGGGCGGGGGGAGGGAGCTGGAACCGGTTCTAAATGGCACGGTAGATTTGTGGAACCTCTTCTATAGAAGAGGTTAGAACTGGCAGAAACCCACCCCTGATTTAATATGTTACCATAAGAAATTACCTTTAAATTATAAAGGTATGTCATATAGTCAGCCTAGAGATAATTAATTGACTTTCTTTACAGAAAAGATAATATCATGAGAATGAGTCTCAGACTGCTGTTGCTGACAGGGATTCACCAAGACAAGGTCTTTTCCAAGAAAAATCCACATTGTCAGATGTCTTCTTGGACCATTTGCTCTGCTGTTACTTCCATTACATCCAAAATTGTGTAATTCCAGAAATTATTTGGGAGCAACTGCTTTTTCTGGCCTATCTAATGCTGTATAGTTAAATTAATTTAGATTTTACTCTGTTGTGATATGTTGCTTTATGGTATATTTTTGGTTTAATGTCATTAGCCCCAAAACATAGTTTATAAATAGATACCATATTTTTTAGAGTATAAAACGCACCAGTGTATAAGATGCACCAAGATTTTTAAAAGGTAAATTTAAAAAAAACCTTTTTTTTGCACTCTACAGGCTTTCCAAACCCCCTGCGTGCCTCATTTTTTGAAAAAAACAGAGCATGCATAGGCTTTGGGGGACTTGTAGAGAGCTCCTGGGGGCTGGGGGGGGCAGAAATTAGCAAAAAATGGCCCATTTTTGCTCATTTTTGCCCTCCCCAGTCCGCAGGAGCACTTTGCAGGCCTCCCAAAGCCTCTGCATGTCCATTTTTGTGAAGGAAGCGGGGTTTCGGGAGGCCAAAAATGCTGTATTCAGTGTATAAGACGCACCCAGATTGTCTCCCTCTTTTTGGGGGGAAAAAGGTGCATGTTATACTCTGAAAAATACGGTATATAAAGGGGGAAAAGATAGTGTATAACAAAATCCAGAGTAATCNGTCTTATACTCCAGTGCATCTTATACTCCGAAAAATATGGTAACTGAAATAAATAAATTTGACCTGAATGGTCCCACAGGATCTTTCTATTAAATTTGCTGATGAGAGACCAAGAAGAAGCAGCCACACAGATTTTTTCATGTGAGACACCATTATAGATTCTTTGGGCAGTGGGGATCCTCTTTGTTTGGGTTTTTTTGGGTGTGTGTGTGTTAAGGAACATAAAACAGCCTACCATTTCCTCCCATTAGTTTAAGGGCGCTCACGCAATGATCCTCCTCCTCTTCAATTTCTTCCTCTTCCACATCCTCCTCATGATTATAAGATACTGGCCCAGTTTCCACCAGCACAGTTCCTGATTTTTCAACCTTTTCAGTTTCTGTCTGAGTACTTGGAAAGACTGCCTATAAAGGAAGAAAAGTTATTTTTAAAAATCCTCACCCTTTCCCTTAACAATCCAACTAAGAGCTTCTTTTGTTCACTTTAATTGTCATTCTATCAAAGCTTCAACCTAAGAAAGTGATATCCCAGTCTTCTTCAGGCTTGTGCCAGGGAAATGTAGAGAATAATAAACTCAATTCTACTCAGTCAGAATAGCTCCAGCCATATGGCTGGAAGATGATGGAAATTGTAATTCAACTCATTTGGAGAGACATCAAATGCAGCAAGGCTATTATAGGTTTCTCGAGGAATATTACTGTTGTTTGTTTTTCTGAAATTTCAAAATATGGTTACAATAGTATGAAGATAACTAAACATGCAAGAAAGTGAGCCTCTCTAAAATTTAGCTTTAGCCAAAGCAATCTGATGCTAGAAATCTCCTTTATATAAGCAGAACATTAAAAATGGTATGCAAAACGTCTAATGAATTAAATAGTATTCAGATGTAATTAGAAAGAGAATCAATAACTCATTATGCAATTTTGCATCAAACTGTTTAATTAGAAGGGCCTCTCTTCAATGGAACAATGCATGCTTTGAATGCAAAACATCTCAAGTGCAATCCCTGATATCAAAAGATCTTAGAAAATAGGACTAGAAAAGAACTTTGCCTGGGATTTTGGAAAGCCATGTTTCAATTAGAATGGCAATTGAAACCAACTGGCAAACCACTTGATGAAACAGAGCATCAACTAATGTAAAATCAACTAATGAAACAGAGCATCAACTAATATCTGAAGTGGTGTAGGGTTTCCTGCCTAGGAAGGGGGTTGGACTAAACCTCCAAGGTCCCTTCCAGAAGGTCCCTTTCTGTTATTTTATTCTATTCTATTCTAAAAGAAATTGCAAAATGTGTTAGCCTTCAATTCCACCCAACAGTCACATATGATGAATATTGTAGTTCAGCATCTGTCTTGATATCTCTAGGGTAAACCATATTGTACAAATAGTCTTTTTATGTTCAAAGCAACTCAGTCTATATTAAATTATTATACAATACTAGCAATTTGGAAACCAACAGAACATTGCTGAGGTACGTCACATTGTTCAAAAGAATCTCTATTACCAATAGGGAATCAGCTCATATGCTGGCTAATGAGCAAAACTTAAAACCTTTCTCACCCCAAAAAAAAAACAAAAAACAACCTGTTAGATGCAGAAATGAAAGAAAATTTTACAAGCAGGTTCTGATATCAACTCTGAGTTTCCTCCACAAGAATCAAGACCATGTAAGGTTTCTGGAGCTCCACAGACTGCAGCTCCACATCGATAGCAGGGAAAAATATATATTCAACAACCAACAGATTCTAATGAAGACATAGATATTACTTATGGTTTGAAATACATAGCTATTGTTTATTGTTCTGGACAATAATAGTACTTAAAAGTAGTCTATAATTTAACAAAAGGTTGCATGCATAAAAAATATTACTTTTGTCTTCCATCCTCACACTGAGAAATGAGCCATTTTGAGGAAGGGGAGAGATACCAGTTCAAAATAGTGATATGCAATCACTATTAGATTACTAGTAGTTCCATGTTCCATCCACAGAATTTAAATCAAAACGTGACAAAGGCTATTGCTGTAACTTTTGTGTACATTTAATACAGAGGTGGGTTTCAAAAATTTTTAGAACCTCTTCTGTAGGTGTGGCCTGCTTTGTGAGAATGACTTGTTGACCATGTGACCGGGTGGGAGTGGCTTGCCAGCCATGTGACCAAGTGGGAGTGGCTTGCC